AATCATTAAGTATATAACTGAGGGAGTCATCACCTTTTTACATTTCAAAGGAAAAGAAAGAAAAAATAGGTTTTTGCTGCTAAAATTATAAGGGTAGTGTTGAATAGTAAGCTAATTTGGAATTTTCAATAATAAAAAAATTTTAAAGGATTGTGTTATTCTGAAAAGCAAAAAAGAATAAGATACAATTAATTTTAAAGAGCCAGATAAGATCTATAGTTCTTGATAATAATATACTATCATTTTGTAAGACAGCTGCTTACTTTTAAAAGTAAATTTAATTAATGTACTCTTTATTTCACATAAGCATTTATGTAGAAGAAATGGTTAAAGAAAAAAGGGAGAACAATATGGCTTGTTTTGTTTTTCTACAGCTAAAGATCTTAGCAACTGAACAAATTATTTGGCCTACAAGTGTACTAGCCTATTTTCCCCCAAAGGGAGATTGTATAATGAAACAGCTACATAATTTTATTATATAATTACATAAAAATAGCTACCTCTTAGATCAGCTTATTACATGCTAAGCATTGTTCTAAGTGCTTTATATACATAAGCTCAAGTAATCCTCACACATCAACCTTAGAAAGTAGGTAAAGTCATCATTCCCATTTTATAGATTGAAAGTGAAGAACAAACAGTAAATTGCCCACATCACACAGCTATCAAGTAGCAGAGTCAATATTCTAACCCTGGCAATCTCACTTTAGTGTACAGTTTTACCTGCTATGCTATGCTCCAATTATTTTGTGAGAGTGTAATTAAAAAGTAGTAAGAAGGAACTAAATATTTTCCTTAGGACATCCTAAAAACTTGTCTCATTTTTCAAGGATGTTTCACAATGCCCATTCCAAATAATTCACAAGTTATTAATATCTTTCAACAATTACTTTAATAATGTTGCAGAAAACATCCCCCAACCAAAAGTTTCAATTCAAATTTGGTCTGGGAGGAGTTCTGAATGTGAGAAATAATCTTTTCTTAATCACTTAGAGTATGTGAATTATAATTTAACAGAGAATTTCGATATTGCATAGTTACAGATTAAAATAATCATTTGGTATAGCTCCTTATATAATAAATGAGGGAACTGAAGCCCAGACTGTACTCAAGAGGTATATAAGTAGCAGAGCTGGCTGTGCAAACCAAGGTATACAGGTCAAGGAGAGAATTCCAAATTGACCTTAGTGTACTTGAGACAGGGCATTTCCACTGGATGTGCAATCTTAACATAAAAATTATTGACTCCTTGCCTTTCAAATCACTTATTATGTATGTATTCAGAGAAAATACAGTACATACTTACTGAACTTTGGATAATGGAGAAGTTCACAGTCTAGTAAAGGAGAAAGATAAAACAAATACACTAAAAAAATCTATAAGCAATATGAAAATGACACGGAAATTTTCTGTTTCAGTCACTCCCACATTGCCAATCACTTTTTCCTGGAGTGGTCAGAATAAAGTCCAAAGTGCCAACTCCTTGTTATCTCCTCCACCTCCAGAGAAGAAATTGTCAGCAAGGCAAAAGATGAACCTCAGATTGTATAAAACTGATGAGGTCCCTCGATATAATTACATTGCCACTATGTCAGTTTGGCAAAGGTATAAATGCAATAAAAATTCACAAAACACTTTAGTAAACAACATGTCTACTTATAAGCACTGGAGCTAGGAGAATACGCTGAAATTAATATGGGTGACGACTGACAGAAAAGTGGCGGTAGACCAGGCCCCAAGTATCAAGGGTCTCAACAAGCCACATGCATAATTCCTGCAATTACCCCTTCCTAGCTCACATGCTTGGTAAAAGTGGCTTATACTCCTACCTTTTAGTAAATTCCTTACTCTTAAATAAAATAAAGCAAGCAAACAAACCAAAAAAACCCCTAAAGAACCTATGAAATTAAAACCAAAGTGTTCTACCATATTTTCACTCTTATTTACTGTCTTTTTAGTTGGTAACATTATGTGGGTTTTAAATTTCTATCGTGACTCAAATATAAAATAGCAAAAATCAGAAAGAGTGCTACTCAGATCAGGTTCTGCTTACTGCCTCTCTGTATACAAAAGCTACTTTTCACATTTTAAGAGGAAGTCCTTCTTATGAGTTGAATTATGTCCTCCAATAAAATATGTTGAATGTGATCTGTATCTGTGAATGTGATCTTATTTGGAAATAGTCTTTGCTGATGCAATCAAGATAGTTAGGTCGGGTCCTTAATCCATTATGATTGGTGTCCTTACAGAAAAAAGAGAGCTACAGGGACACTGGAGGAGAACACCATGCAACAATGGAAGCAGAGATAGCATGATGCATCTGTTTGTAAGTCAAGGAATGCCAAAGACTGCCTGCAATCAGCAGAAGAAAGAGAAAGGCTTGGAACAGATTCTCCCGTAGAGACTTCAGAAAGAGCATGGCCCTGCAAATATATTGATTTTGGATACAGAATTAATATAAATATTATAAATAAATTTCTGTTGTTTTAAGCCACCAAGGTTGTGGTACTTTTTTCTGGCCTCTCTAGGAAATTAATACAGTCCTTAATGATTTCCTCAAGCTCATTCCTTTCTCATCAATTTATAATTTAACACTTCAGTAATCTGGCATATGATCCCTCCAATTTACAGATCCTAAAATTGTGTTAAATAACACCATCATCCCCATCCTCAACAGACAATGCTAACAGTACTTTCCTGGCCTTTGTCTTGTTCACGTCTCTGCAGTATGTAATGGTATATTAGCCTGATTCACCCTAGTAGGATTGCCCAGAATTAGCAAATAAAAATATAGCCATGTATCGCTTAACAACAGGGATATGTTCTAATAAATGCACAGTTAGATACCTGATTTCATCTTGTGCAAACATCATAGAGTGTACTCACACAAACCTAGATGATAATAGCCTACTGCTCTAGGCTATACCAGTAGTAGTGTAGTAGTATAGCCTACTGCTATAGGTACCATATAGCCTAGGCTACAGTACAGCCTATTGTTCTTAGGCTACAAACCTGTACAGCATGTTACTGTACTGAATACTGCCAGCAACGGTAACACAATGCTAAGTATTACTGTATCTAAATATAGAAAAGGCAAAATAAAAAATACCGTATCATAATCTTAGGGGACCACCATCATATACAGGGTCCATCATTGAAATGTTAGGAGACACATGACTGTATTATGTTTTATCTGGCAACCCTAGCCCCTACTCAACTTTTAAGACTCAGTTCCCATCTCAACTCCTCCCTAAAAGAAAATGTGCTCTGCAAAATGCTGGGTTAGATGACCACTTCTATACTTTCACAGCAATATAAGCAAACAGTCAGCAATGGTTCCTAGCAGGAAGCATTTGTGAAAATCACCTCTTTTTGTAAAAATGAGAAACTAATGTCCTATGTTCTGCCTGAATTTTCAAAAAGTTCACCAGGTGATTTTGAGATGCTTCTGACCCAGAACCACTATTGACATAAAACTGAATACAAACTGGTTGTTTACTTGTTTCCTATTCCCAACAGACTTAATTACTTAAGAGCAGGAACTACAGTTTTTCTATCACCTATGCCCAATAGACAAAAGCATTGAATTCCAATATCAGAGGCTGGCAACCTATGCCCATGGTCCAAATCCAACCCACTGCATGATTTTGTAAATAAAATGTTACTGGAACACAGCCACACTCATTCATTTGTATATTATCTAGGACTGCACTCATACTACAACAGTAGGCTTGAACAGCTGAAACAAAGACTGCATGGCCCACAATGTCTAAAGTATTTCTTGTCTCATCTCTTACAGAAAAAATTATAATAGCTGAACCCTGACCCATAGGGTGAATGACTGAATAATCAGCAAATGATACTGAATGCAACCAATTTAAAAGTCAAATTATCCATACATATTTACATGGATATCTGGAGTTTTATATGTGTGTATAATATCTTTGAAGTACTGAATCTTATAAGCTCACACTGATGATTACTCTTCTTAGATACACAACATCTAACATATTGATTAATACGAAATAAGACTTTACCATCTGTACAAACTTTTACCCGCTTAGTCCCCAAAGTACACTTTGGATTGCTGCTATAATTATTGTGATTAAATACATTTCTTACATTGAATTTCTTTGGGCAACCACTTTTTCATTTCACTGACGGGAAGTCAAATTGTTTTTAGGATCTAAGGCAATGCCATGGTTTTTACACTATTAAGTGCTACTTTGTTATGACAGTAACATGTCACCTAACCAGAATTCAGCTTTCTCATCTAACTTAGAACATAGCTGAGAAACTAGAAACAAAAAAGGGGATACTTTTAATATCTCTCAAAGCTCATACATAAGGAATATATGTATGCCTTACGTATACATAAACACATGTACATGTAAAGATATATCATATACACCTATGTACATGTAAAGCTATATTTTAATATACATGCATTTGTGGGGTTTGAGTTTTTTTTATTTTTTTTGAGACAGAGCCTTGCTCTGTTGCCCTGACTGAAGTGCAGTGGCATAAACAGAGGTCACAGCAACTCCGAACTCCTGGACTCAAGCGATCCTCCCACCTCGGCCGCCTGAGTAGCTGGGATTATAGGCATAACGCACCATGCCCAGCTCAGTTCTTAAATATACATGATGTCAACAAATTTGGTACTCTATCATAGCCAACTAAAATGAAAACTACCAAATTATATAGGGAAAAGTTTGTCCCAAAAGCAGGCTAACAAAATGAAGGGGTGAGAAGTATCACATATCATCAGTCATTAGACAATTTATAAAAGAACTAATACTTGCTACACAAAGTAAGGTCTCAAGGTAAGAAACATCTCAATCAGCTCAGACCTTGTTACAAATCCAGAATTGCATTTTAACAGGATGTCCAGGTGATCTATATGCACCTTCAAATTTGAGACCTCTTCTCCAGTGGTATTAACCCAACTGAACACTGTTAAAACACCCTGTCCAGAATTATATCAAAGATGACAATACCTTGAGCACTTGAACTTGACCTTCTGTAGTAATTTCCTTTAACAGCTCACAAAAAGACTGACATAGACCTATTGCATATGTCTGAAATTCAATCAAAAATCAATATATACATAAGAATATATCTACAATATCAAAAAAGCGTAAAATTCAATTTGAGACTCATTATAATCTATTTAAGAATTATTAATAAATAGGAAAGGTCTAAGCATATAAAGTTTCAATTAGAACTCTTAGGAAAAGTTAAGGAAAAAAGATTATACCTAATACAGCGTTTATTGATACAATGATTCTTATAAGAATATAAGGATATATTTATTTATATACCACATTCTCTGTCTTAAATAACAATAGAACTATATGCATCACATCTGCCCTGCAGTGAGAAATGTTCGGTCAATGTTTCATCCCCCAACACCCAGAAAATAATAGACAAATCTTAAACTTTGAAAAAACATCTCTTCATTTCAAATGAGAAATAAATAATTTCTTATAATGCATAAACTACTGCAACATACCTGTAAAAATTCTGTTGATGATAAAAAGATATAACCATTGATGATCTTAAAGCAGGTTCTGAGATTTTCTGAACTTAGTTCTGTCAAAACAATAAATTTCAAAAAGTGGGGGACAAATTAGTTTAAATGAAGAGATTCGTTTTTATTTAAAACTAAGTTATATACCCTTCTTTACAAATCTTTTCTGAGTGCTATACATACTACTAGTATCTATAGATATCTACCTAAAAACTCACATCAACCTATAATTTAATGCTATCTCATTTACTTTTCAGAGGTTGAAACAATTTTAAAAAAGACCAAACTCTGACCTCTTTTTCCTTTCAGAAAAAAGATACATAACCATTTGACCCAACCTTTCAATTCAAACTAAGTCGTTAGTGCTAGCATGGCAAACAACATACAACTGAATCATTTTACCATCATATTTGACATCTGCTTAAATGGGTTCACTCAATGAGCATTTATTGTTATTGCACTGCCACTAAATATGCTGTCTTTCTTACAATTCCCTATTGAACTCCAAAAAATTTTATCATGTTTAGATATTCTCAATCTTTTGGCTTCATTCTTCAAATCTGCTTCCCTATAAAAACCTACACAAAAAAAAATGTTCTTAAACATGTAGTTACCAGAACAACATAGGAAAGGTATATTGTTCTTATTTCAAGTGCAAAGTAGAAACTATTTTGTTAATATTGAATATAAGTGAAAGTTGACGCAGTGCTATTTTCCATGTCTTGTTACATAAAACAGTATGATACAATACAGACTGTATATATAAAATCATACAGATCAAATCATGACCCCAAAGTATCATCTATGCCTAAAACCTACCATTCTCCATTGTAAATATTTTAGAAATTCTATTCTGGCAATAGGACAGATTTTTTTTTTTTAATTTTTTTTTTTTCCTGGCAAAATATTAGCCTAAGCCTTTGGATGCTATTTTAACTCACAACTAAGGAAAGTGAGAAGACACTCTATTCAGATTCGAATTTTCCATTTATTTTCAAAAAAGAATGCAATCCTACCCCTAGCTCAAAATGTCTTTTACAAAGGCATTAGTTCCTATACACTTTAGGATTTGACAGACTAGTTTCAAAAAAGTTGAGAATGGGAAAGGGACAGAGAATGACCAGCTTGTTATTAACACTATGCTAATAAAAGACATTTTTAAAAATAACAAAACTGCCATCTAATTATCTTTTATTTCAGGATAAAAGAGGCCTTTAGGCCGGGCACGGTGGCTCACGCCTGTAATCCTAGCACTCTGGGAGGCCCAGGCAGGAGGATTATTTGAGGTCAGGAGTTCGAGACCAGCCTGAGCAAGAGAATAGAAAGAAATTAGCCGGACAACTAAAAATATATAGAAAAAATTAGCTGGGCATGGTGGCGCATGCCTGTAGTCCCAGCTATTCGGGAGGCTGAGGCAGAAGGATTGCTTGAGCCCAGGAGTTTGAGGTTGCTGTGAGCTAGGCTGATGCCACAGCACTCGAGCATGGGCAATAGAGCGAGACTCGTCTCAAAAAAACAACAACAAAAAAAGAGGCCTTTATAGCAGATAAAGTTATCCTTATGAGAAAGGAGTGATTTTAAAAAGCATACAGCCCATCTCTTCTCACAGATATCTAAAAAACTATTCCTGGCTCAATCTATACAAACAAGTACCTGGGTGATTAAGTTACTTCGTACTCGTTTCCATGTCTCCACTATGCCCAGGATAGCTTTTATTAAATATTCTTGGACATGTTAAAATCAGCAAATATTAAATATTCATATGGAAAATAGCCCTAAAAGTAATAAATTTATCTATTTTAAGGTGCTGAATGTTGTTCATTTCATCCATGAGTTCCTAGTGAGGCTCTAAAGAAAAACTATTGTCTGGCCCTAATACCAGAAAAAGTTACTTTCCAACCATGCTGGAGATCTGTATTTATTTTTAGACACTGAATAATTTAAGTCTATGGTTCTCGGTCAAGGACAATTTTGGCCCTTAAAAGACAATTGGCAATGTCCAGAAAAATTTTGGTTGTCATCACTAGCATCTGGTAGTATCTGGGAATCTTATTAAACATCCTACCATGCACAGGAAAGCCCCCCACAATAACGAATTACCTGGCCCAAATGTCAACACAGTCAAGATTGAAAACCCTGGATCTAAGTGATTAGGTTGCTCTTTTCACATACTGCTGGGACAGCTCTCAGGTAAACATATGGTCCATCAAAGTTTCTATTATAGTATGCTCTGTGAATATACATGATTTATATATGCTGTTATGATTTTATTTTATAATCTGTTCCTCTGTTTTTCTCTATGCTTTTGCTTCTATTTTTAATTTGTATTCTCATTTTACATTTTATCTATTCCTTTAAATTTCTATAGAGAGCAGGGAATGAATAAATTAT